TTTTTTAAATGTAAAATAATTAGTTAACCAGACTAAGGTGGCAAGGCTTAAACAATTTCAAGCACTAAAATGTTTTTTCCCCTCTATTTCCCCTGTTTTAATCCAGTACTTGAAAGTCATTAAACTGTTACATATATTTCATGCAACTGTAACTAACAGAATGAAGGGTATTCATTTGGTCATGATGTATACTCTTCTATTTATTTTATTTTTCTTTTGTAAATATGTTAAATTCAAAATATTGCTCAAATTCTTTCATTTTTAATCAACTTTTTCTCTTTTACTTAAGATTTACATTTAGAGGCTGATGTTGTGGCAGAGGGGGTTAAGTTGCCATCTGTAGAGAAAGCACCCCACATGGCAGCTGGTTTGAGTTCTGTCTGCTCCACATCCAATCCAGCTCCCTGCTAATGCTTCTGGGAGAGCAGAGGAAGATGACCCAAGTCCTTAGAACTCTCCCACCGATGTGGTTGACCCGGATGAAGCTTCTGGCTCCTGGCTTCGGACCAGCCCAGCTCTGGTCGTTGCAGCCATTTGGGGAGTGAAGAAAAAAGATTTCTATTTAAAATATTACAGTTTTACATTTATATTTAAATTATTGCAATTTTACATCAGACGAGTTTAGTAAGTATCAACTACAATAAAACAAATTATTAATAATGACATTTATTGGGCAACCACAGCTTAGTAGGGTTAGTATACAAAGCAGCAGTCTAGTAATGTAGGTGGGTGTTAATTGCTGTTAGTAGAAATTAGGAGTTGATTTGCCATCCTGAGTTACTGATGTTATGGGATGTTTACCCCTGAACTCAAGACAGACGTTATATAGCCATGATTTGGAGCTCTGCTCAAATGCAATCTGGTCTTCCAATCTGCTGGTTAATCAACTAAATAGAAGGAAAAACTTAACTTTCAGACTTGGATCAGGCAGTGATTGTGACATAATTTAACTTAAACACACAGTGTCTATATATATAATATATATGTTATTTATATATATTTTATATATATATACACACAAATATATAAAATCAAACAGGGATGGTATGCTTCTATTTTTATGCATTTAGTTGCTTTATTTAATGCTATATTGCTGTAGAATACAATATCTTCTTTGTCTCTGTTTCGTACAGTAAATTATCCTAGGATGTGAAGACACAAACCAAACATGCTGACATCTTGAGATTCAGCTCCAAGGTAATTATGAAAAATCTGCTTATATTTGAATAACAAGAAAGAACTCCTCTCCATATATTTTGACTTAACTTTCTTTCTTTCATTTTTTTCTATTTGAAAATATTGAAATTGCTACCAAATAGTTTTCCTATTCTCCTATTTTTGTGCTATTATTTTAAACTTAAATAGACAAATTTTTGGGGGGTGGTTGGGAGTTGGGCCTTAGCAGTTAGGATGCCAGTTGAAGGGGTGGGTGTTTGGTGCAGCATCTTAAATCATTGTTTGGAACATCTGTATCCCATACAGGAGTATTTGGTTCAAGTCTTGAGTATTCTGCTTCCAATCCAGTTTCCTGTTAATGAGTGTACTAGGAGACAATAGGTGCTTACTCAAGTATTTGGGTCCTGCTAATTGTACTGGGGAGCTGGATAAAGTTCTGGGCTCTTGGCTTTGGCTTGGCCTAGTCCTGGTTGTTGCAGGCATTTGGGGAGTGAAGATTTCTCTCTGTTTTTCTCTCTCTCTGCTTTCCAAATAAAATGAAAACAAACCCAGATTTTTTTAAAACATGCCAGTTGAACTGTCCTCAAACCATATCCAAAGTGCATAGATCATATTCCCAGCATCAGCTCCTGTCTCCAGTTTCTCACTAATGCAGAGCATGGGAGACAGTGGTGATGGCTCACATAGTTATGCTCCTGCCACTCATGGGAGACCTTAATTGTGCTCCTAACTCCTGTCTTTGACCTGACCCAGCCCCAGCCCCAGTTGTAGGGGAGTGAGTAGGTGGATAGAAGGAGCTCTCTGTCTCTCTCCCCATCCTCTTTCCTTGTCTTTCATATAAATACAAATTTTTAAAAAGGTCTCATTCAGTTATTTTCATTACTCCTGTACTTCTACTTTGGTTAATACTTTAATAGTGGTTACTATTTTTTTCTAGATTAAAAGCATTTTAATATTTGGGGCTGGCATTGTGGCACAGCTGGTTAAGTCATCACCTATGATATCAATCCCTTATGAGCTCCCATTCGAGGCCTGGCTCCTCCACTTCCAGTCTAGCACCCTGCTGGACTGCCTGGGACAGCAGTGGAAGATGGTGCAAGTTCTTGGACCCCTGCCACCCACATGGAAGACACAGATAGAGTTCCTGTCTCCTGGCTTTGGTCTAGCTCAGCCCTGAATGTTGTGGCCATTTGGGGAGAGCCAGCAGACGGAAGATATTTCTGTCTGTTTCTCTGTCTCTCTCTGTGTAACTCTGCCTTTAAAATAAACAAAATAAATCTTTAAAAAAGCAGATACTAATAATGGTCATGCTTTAAAAAATTATAAAAAATCATTGAGTATGATGGATATTTTTGAAATAACATGGTTAGATGATGATGTTTCATGTGTGTCTTACTGGTGACTTGGCATAGAACAAATCTGAACTGGTATCTAAAAAGAATTACAAAATATTGAGAGAAAGCAAACGTTGAACCTCCTGATTTGTTTCCTAAGTTTTGAGTATTAATTGATAAACATTTATTAAGCAATAAAGAATGTATTTTTTTCCAAATATGATAAATATGCATAAAAGGTACACACAGTTCATGCCATCAAAGAGTATATTGTTTATCAGCAGTTGAGAAAAAGAGACTTACTTATTTAGGAAGCATTTCTTTATTTGTAATATTGTAGTTATCACTCTGTAAATAAAAAATGAATATATGCCACAAATCATTTTCTCAAAGAGCTCATTGTTATGTATGTAAATCATTGCAATATGATGAGACAAATGTTTTCTGGTTGCCAGACATCTAAAGTTTTCCATTCTTGTAATAGTGTAGATATTACCAGCTATACTTGTTGTTAAACAAGTGAAATGCTTTGATAAAATTTAATAAAAAATATTTAAAACTCTAACAAGCAGTAAATCTAATAACATATATTCTGAAATAAACCTATTAGCTCAAACCAATCAAGATTACTATTGAAAAAATTGCAGTTGGTGTTGTGGTACAGAGGGTTAAGTTGCTGCCTGCAATACCAGCATCCAATGTGGGTGCTGGTTCGAGTTCTGACTGCTCCACTTCTGAACCAGTTTCCTTCTACTGCAATGGGAAAAACAATGGAAGATAGTCTAGGAGCTTGGGGCCCTGCCACCCATGTGGTAGACTTGGATGGAGTTCCTGGCTTTGGACTGGCACAGCCCCAATTGTTGTGGCCATTTGGGGAGGAACTAGCAGATGGAAAATTCTCTCTCTCTCTCTCTAACTTTGCCTTCCAAATAAACAAATCAATCTCTCTCTCTCTTTTAATTTTCCTAGTTCTGTGAATTGGTAATAGAAATATTGAGTATGGCAAAAATCAACAGAATTTCATGGGCTAGATTTTGGATAAAATTGCAGATGAGATAGCAGCAGGATCATGAGTACTTGTCTTCTGCGTCTCTACAGTTTCACAGCACACCAAAGTGGGCACTGATAGGACCACTTCCTGGGTCCAGGTCCCAAGTAAATCTGACTTCTAGGTTCATACTTGCCCCTGGTACACAGCAGCATGCCTGAAATTATTGAATATGGTTCCCCTACTCCCTTGACACCTTTAAAAATAGCCCTTTTATAGATAGCATCTAAATTATACCAGAAGAAAGAGAGTAAGTGAAGGAAATAAGTTCCCAACAAGTAAATAGGTGAGCATGTGGATGGTGGGAAAGAGCAGACTAGCAGGAACCAGGGAGCTTTCATTGTTGTAGACTGTTTTGTCTTTAAATAGGAAACAGTGCCATCTGCTGGTAGGGAGGAGGTAGAGATCATGAAGAGTAAGATGATCAGATGGCACAGGTGCTATAAGGTATACTATATGGTCAAGGGCTGATGAAAGAATCTGTGTATTGTTAAAAAAAATCTATGTACTGTGTAGAGCTGTGCAAGCATCAATTTTTCTGCAGTACGGTTTTTCTTTGGAAATGTTCAACAGCCATGTAAGAGAGGCTAAGGGATATTTTGCTGTGGTGGGAGGAAGCATTTGAAGCTATTAGCCAAAAACTAGTGAAATGGTAAATAAAGACACTAAATGGGAAGTATATTTAGACTACACGGGGAGGAGAGATGGTATCTTGAAGGAAGGCATGATTTCCATTAGATAAGAGGAAGGGAGAATGTCAAGGTGGTCCTTTCATCTACCGTTATCCTTTTTAGTTGATTACTAACATTCTCCACTTGTGCATGATTTTCTGTTGCTTAGCCCACAGCTTCTCACAGTGGCCCTCTTGATTAAATTCTTTTTTAAAGATCTTATTGAATCATTTGAAAGTAAGAGTTACAGAGAGAGGAGAGACACAGCGAGAGAGGGAGAGACAGAGAGATAGAGATATTCCATCAGTTGGTTCACTCTCCAAATGGCAGCAATGGCCAGGGCTGGGTCAGGCCAAAGCCAGGAGCCAGGAGCTTCATCTGGGTGTCCCACATAGGTGGCAGAGGCCCAAACAATGGGGACATCTTTGCTACTTTTCCTAGGCCATCAGCAGGGAGCTGGATGAGAAGTAGAGCATGTGGGACACAAATGAGCTCCCACATGTTATGCCAGCATCACCAGCAGAGGCTGCTACGCCACAACACCAGCCCATGATGTAAATTTTTGCAGAACTTTGACCCAAGTATGTGAGCCCCTGCCACACCCAGGATGAAGACCTGGATGAAGCTCCTGGCTCCTGGTTTCAGCCTGGCCCCATCCTGCCCTGCCCATTGCAGCCATTTGGGGAGTGAACCAGCACATGGAACATCTCTATCTCTCTCTCTCTCCCTCTAAATCTGCTTTCAAATACAAAAAAAAAAAATCAATCTTAAAACAAACAAACAAAAAGGCTCTTCTTCCTGTAAGCGGCCTTAGGTGACCTGCGAAAATGGTTCGCTACTCACTGGACCCAGAAAACCCCACAAAATCATGCAAATCAAGAGGCTCGAATCTTCGCGTTCACTTTAAGAACACTCGAGAAACTGCCCAGGCCATCAAGGGTATGCATATCCGAAAAGCCACCAAATACCTGAAAGATGTCACGTTAAAGAAGCAGTGTGTGCCATTCCGTCGGTACAATGGTGGAGTTAGTAGATGTGCCCAGGCCAAGCAGTGGGGTTGGACCCAGGGTCGTTGGCCCAAAAAAAGTGCCGAGTTTCTGCTGCACATGCTTAAAAATGCAGAGAGTAATGCTGAGCTGAAGGGTTTGGATGTAGATTCTCTGGTCATTGAGCACATCCAGGTGAACAAGGCCCCCAAGATGCGCCGCTGGACCTACAGAGCCCACGGCCGGATCAACCCGTACATGAGCTCCCCGTGCCACACTGAGATGATCCTCACTGAGAAGGAACAGATAGTTCCTAAGCCAGAAGAGGAGGTGGCACAAAAGAAAAAGATATCCCAGAAGAAACTAAAGAAGCAAAAACTTATGGCTCGGGAATAAACTCAGTATAAAATAAATACGAATTAAAAGAAAAAAAGAAAAAAAAAAAAACAAAAAAATGAAAAACCCCAAAAAACCCCTTGCAGACAGGCTCTGTCCAGCCCTTCCTGAGCGGCCCTCACTCAGTGAGACATGTTAGTACATCTGGCATTTCAGGTTTTTAGCATATCGTAATTCCTGGCCCAGAAGCATAAGCATCATCTAGGAACTTTTACAAATGCAAATTCCTGTCTCTTCTCTGACTCTGATTCAGAAACCTGGGGAGTGAAGCTCTCCAATCCATATTTGAAAAATACTCCTCCCTACCCCCACCAGAGATTCTAATGCATGCTTAAGTAGAACCATTGGTGTAACAGTTTCATGCTATTGTTAATGAACTTCATTATCACCTTCAGGTCTTTGCCCAAATTCCCACCACTCTGATTCGTGTTGCAACCTCCACTTACCTCTAATCCTCTTTTTGCTGCCCTTTCTCTTATCTTCCTAACCAAGCTTCACTTTTCTCTTTTCCTTAACATTTACAATGCCTTGTATTACATCCTTATTTATTATGAATGTTTTTGTCTATCTCTACCCATCAGGATACAAGTGACTTGAATCAAGGCATCTTTGTTTTGTTTGTTGATGTATTCTACATTCCCAGAACAATGCTTGCTATACAGTGGGAGCTCAATAAATATTTGTTAAGTGAATATTTCTGTATTCTTTGGATAAACAGCTATTCCCAAAGAGGCCTCCTTTCTGGACAGCAGTTGTCTCTCAACCTTTGGCCTTGCAGGTGTGTGGCTTCCACCAGTTCCTGTTTTTCAGACTCCATGGTTTAGAGTCAAAATCTAACATGGTACACTAAGTGTTACCTAAGAATGAAGTGTAAGGGCACAGAAACACTCCAGGATGGCAGTGGGGGTTTGGTGGGTCAGAGAGGCAGGATTGTGTAATGCAGAGGCTGTTCCCTGATTTCTGCAGAGAGCTGGATGAATGGTGAAAAGAGCAAGAAGTAGAGGGAAGAAGGTGTTGGGGAGTGGAGAATGGTGACCTCTTCTCTCATGTCTGGTGTCTTAACACTGTGATAGCGTGGATGCCCAAATGGCTGTCTACTTGGGCTTCTCTTTCAAGTTATGTCCTGTTCATTTTATATATACATATGCATCCATATCTAAAGTATTACAGACTTTCTTAAAACAAAATCTACTTACATACTGTGATGGATTCTACTCTAATAAAATATCTGTAACCAGCATTTGGGGTGCAAGTTCATGTAGTTTCTATTTATTTCTTAGACATGTGTTCCCAGAACACTTGATTATTGAAGTATTGATGGTCTGGCTAAAAAGGGGTTTAATAAAGCAGAAGTACTATAAGCAAAAGAATTAAGTAAATGTCATTTAACTTATTTCTATTTACACTTTATTAATAATATGGTAGAATTAGGTTATTATTTTCATTGTGCTGTATTATGAATCTTCAAAGTCAATAATAAATCATATAAATAATTTTGGAAGCAAATGCCATTTGTAGATTCAGTAAGCAGAATAATTATATAAAAGTATATGAGTTAATGTACTTCAGACATTTTCTAAGCCCTATTAAAGCAGAGTTCACCTTTATCTTATGAGTTTTAAAGGATATGTAAGATAATCTAATTAACGAACAAGTATTCTTTGATCACTAATTTTATCATTTGAATTCAATCAACTTAAAAAGGAATTTATCATTTCCTGTCAGATGTCAATTGTTTTTAAAAGATGATGATAAATTACAATGTAAAAGGTACCCATGTGACACCATTTTTTTTTTTTTTTACCAAAAATAAAGCTTAACAGGCAATAGAAGCTGGCGCCGCAGCTCACTTGGCTAATCCTCCACCTGCAGCGCCAGCACCCTGGGTTCTAGTCCCAGCTGGGGTGCCGGATTCTGTCCCGGTTGCTCCTCTGCTGTGGCCCAGGAAGGCAGTGGAGGATGGCTCAAGTGCTTGGCCCCTGCACTGGCATGGGAGGCCAGGAGGAAGCATCTGGCTCCTGGCTTCGGATCTGCACAGCAACAATTTGGGGGGTGAACCAATGGAAGGAAGACCTTTCTCTCTGTCTCTCTCTCTCACTAACTCTGCCTGTCAAAAAAAACCCAAAAAAACAAAAAAAAAACAGGCAATAGAAACAAAGCATATTTAAGAGTATGACGCATATATAAAGAGTACATGAAGCATATATATAAATACATATATTTATGTATATAAATATATATATAAATGAAGTATATGTAAGAGTACATGAGTTAATGTACTTTAGACATTTTCTAAGCCCTATCAAAGTAGAGTTCACCTTTATCTTATGAGTTTCAAAGGATATGTAAGATAATCTAATCAACCAATAAGTATTTACTTTATTCTCTTTTAATTTTTTTATTTCTTTTCAACTTTTATTTAATAAATATAAATTTCTAAGGTACAACTTTTGAATTATAGCAGCTTTTACCCCCATAACCTCCCTCCCACCCATTCTTCATCAGGATTCATTTTTCAATTATCTTTATATACAGAAGATCAACTTAGTATATACTAAATAAAGATTTCAACAGACTGTACCCACAAAGTATAGAGTACTGTTTGAGTAGTAGTTTTACCATTAATTCTCATAGTACAACACATTAAGGGCTTCCTACATGTGGAGCAGGTGCACAGTGGGTTCTGTTGTTGATTTAACAATTGATACTCTTAGTTATGACGTCAGTAATCACCTGAGGCTCATGTCATGAGATGCCAAGACAATGGAAGTCTCTTGAGTTCACCAACTCCGATCTTATTTAGACAAGGCCATAGTCAAAGTGGAAGTTCTCTCCTCCCTTCAGAGGAAGGCACTGTCTTCTTTGATGGCCCATTCTTTCAGCTGGGATCTCACCCACAGAGATCTTTCATTTAAGCCATTTTTTTTTTTTTGCCACAATGTCTTGGCTTTACATGCCTGTGAAACTCTCCTGGGCTTTTAGACAGATCTGAATGCCTTAAGGGCTGATTGTGAGGACAGAATGCTGTTTAAGACATCTGACATTCTATGAGTCTGCTGTGTATCCTGCTTCCCATGTTGGATCGTTCTCTTTTTTAATTCTATCAATTATTTGCAAACACTGGTCTTACTTATGTAATCCCTTTGACACTTAATCCTATCATTATGATCAATTATGAACTGAAACTGATCACTTTAACATGCCATCTTGATGGGATTGAAATGTAATCCCCTGGTACGTTTCTAGCTCTACCATTAGGGGTAAGTCCGAGTGAGCATGTGCCGAACTGTACATCTCCTCTTGCTCTTATTCTCACTCTTATATTTAATAGGGATCACTTTTAGGGATCACTTTTCAGTTAAATTTAAATGACTAAGAATAACTGTATGTTAATTAAAGTGTTCAACCAATGGTATTAAGTAGAACAAAAAAACATTAAAAGGAATAAAATAGTAAGTTGTTCCTCGACAGTCAGGACAAAGGCTGATCAAGTTATTATTTCTCATAGTGTCCATTCACTTCAACAGGTTTCCTTTTAAGTGCTCAGTTAGTTGTCACTGATCAGGGAGAACAAGTGATATTTGTCTCTTTGGGACTGGCTTATTTCACTCAGCATGTTTTCCAGATTCCTCCATTTTGTTGCAAATGACCGGATTTCGTTTTTTTTTTACTGCTGTATAGTATTTTATAGAGTACATAGGCCATAATTTCTTTATCCAGTCTTCTGTTGATGGGCATTTAGGTTGATTCCATGTCTTAGCTATTGTGAATTGAGCTGCAATAAACATTGAGGAGCAGACAGCTCTTTTATTTGCCAATTTAATTTCCTTTGGGTAAATTCCGAGGAGTGGGATGGCTGGGTTGTATGGCAGGAAGTATTTACTTTATTCTTAGGTTACTAATTTTTTATAATTTGAATTCAATCAACTTAAAATGTAATTTATCATTTCCTGTCAGATGTCAATTGTTGTTAAAAGATGACAATAAATTACAATGTAAAAGGTACCCATGTGACACCATTTTTTTTAACCAAAAATAAAGCTCAACAGGCAATAGAAATGAAACATATTTAGCAATAAAATTTTCCTTTTGGATGGTAAAACTCAAAGAAGTGGGAAAAAGATTGACTCAAAGTTAATTATACAAGAGTTTTGGTACTTATCTAATGTGGCCTGAATATGTGCTCCCATATTAATATATTGAAACCTTACTCCCAACGTGATGGTATTAGAGGTGGAGCCTTTGGGAGGTGATTAGGTCATGGCTGTAGAGACCTCAGAGCTGGGATTAGTGTCCTTACAACAGAGGCCAAAGGATAGGCATATGCCACTTGGGAAATCCACAGCCCATATCATAGTTCCTGGGTTCATTCTTAGCTCACTCCTGATTCCAATTTCCTGCTAATGGACACTGTGAGATCATGGCCCAAGTACTTGGGTCCCTGTTACTCACGTGGGAGACCCAGTCGAAGTCTAGGCTCCAGGTTTTGATGTGACCCAACTGGGGCTATTATGAGCATTTGGAAAGTAAACCAGCAAATGGGAGATCTCTTTCTGTTTCTCTCTCTCTCTTTCTGTTTTTAAAATACATATTGATTTTTTTTTTAAACTAAAAGGTCTAATAAAGACCTCTTGCCCCTCTACCATGAGAAGATAGAGTAAGAAGGTGGCAATTGGCCGGTGCCGCGGCTCACTAGGCTAATCCTCCACCTAGCGGCGCCGGCACACCGGGTTCTAGTCCCGGTCGGGGTGCCGGATTCTGTCCCGGTTGCCCCTCTTCCAGGCCAGCTCTCTGCTGTGGCCCGGGAGTGCAGTGGAGGATGGCCCAAGTACTTGGGCCCTGCACCCCATGGGAGACCAGGAGAAGCACCTGGCTCCTGGCTCCTGCCATCGGATCAGCGCGGTGCGCCGGCTGCAGCGGCGGCCATTGGAGGGTGAACCAACGGCAAAGGAAGACCTTTCTCTCTGTCTCTCTCTCTCACTGTCCACTCTGCCTGTCAAAAATTAAAATAAATAAATAAAAAAAAAGAAGGTGGCAATCAATGAG